GCTTTGAATGATTGACCCCAAGAATTTAAACTCATCCTTGCAGCTTCAATCTACTTCTCATTTACACACATGCACAGACTCTGTCTTGCTTCTACTGACTTTTATTCCTCCACGCTCCACAGCAGACTTCCACCTCTCCAGGATCTCTTCCGCCTGCTCTCTACTCTCACTAGATGTTGTCTACAAACATAATAGTGCACAGCGACTCCTGTCGGCCCTCATCATTTAACCTGTCCATTACACTGATCCCTAACGTAGTCCCACCTTGAACTCATCTGTCACTCGTACTGCACATCTCTGTTTCACTGTCCTTATATAGTATGTCCTGCATTACCCTCACTTCTTCAAACACCAAAATAGTTCTTGTCTTTATGTTTCTATACAACTACAAAGACCTAATCTATTTGTCAACTCTCTTAAAGCAAATGCCATAAAGTCATTTTTCCACAGCTATGCTATTTAAAGTCTAAGTTGACATCTTAATATAAACATATTTAACATAGACAATTATTTGGTGTTCAACAATGCTAGGGAGGAATGTTGTAAAGAGTACAAATGTATTTAGGGAGATATTTTGTCAAATGTTTTGCACAAAAGGTTGCACCTGAAATAAGTCTTGTTGCTGTGCTCTGATATCCCTTTAATCCCTCCATCAGCTCGTCCTGACGCACAGCTACACTGATGGCCTGTCCTTCTGTCATTCAGATGTTGGGCTGCTGATTGAAGCACTTATCTCCTGTAATCGGTGCGTGTAAAGGTATTACTGCTGAGGGCGAGCCTTGCCAAACCAAGTTTTATGCGGAAAAAACTCACGTCTGTGCCTCCAAACAACATTATCTACAGGGAGTCGGATGTCTCAGGCAAAACCATTCTTGCAACCCCAATTAGATGTCTTGGATTAGGGTTCATCTTGGGTTTTCACCTCCTTAAGGTTCTGAGAAAGTGGGGAGGGTGAAGAAGAACTGGAAGAGGAGGGTAAATAAAGAGGCAAACACACACAGGTTGTTAAAAGTAACATTTGTAAGCTTATTATTTTGTTATCTCGATCTCTGTCATGGTTTGATCGGTTTACATTTTGTTTTCAAGTTCATTTAAAGTCATTCCAGTCAAAGGTAAACATGATTGTAATTGTTGTTTCCAACACTATTAAATGCTTTTGCTGTTTTTCCAGACGACATTCGGTCACGCTTTATTATCCGCACACACAACCGGAGAACAACAACAGACTGACTCGTGCTCGGACCTGCTCATTCACACGCACACACACGTACAAACACACACTTATATTCTTGCTCTCGTGTTTAAGTTCTTAAGTGCAACTTCTTGAAGAGTGATTTATGTTTCTGACTGCACTTCTTCTCCGCCCACTCCAAACCTGAACCCAATCCCTTCATCCCTCCCTCCCCCTCCTCGTTAGAGCCATATGCACACCTGGGCTGGAGCACTTCCTTATTAATAACACTTAGTTGTTTCTATTGGCACAACTGCTCATTCCTGTGGCAAGAATTTTGAAGATTTGTTTTTGAAAATGTCTTGCAAATTAATTTCATGGCTTTGGAAGACATAAAATAAAGCATTCTACTATAGGTTATGAAAATAACATCATAAAGATATTTGAACTGTTGGTTCCTAATTTAGTACCAAATCTGTTTTGTTAAAACTCTTTGCAATTTCCCTTAAAAATTACTTGGCTATGCAGAATATATCACAAAGACATGGCATGTTACTCCTTATAAAAATTCTGCTTATATTATTATCATAAATGTAAACGAAGAAGTTCCTTTTGCATCCAGCTTTGGGACATGGGAAGCAAGCAGACTGCTGTTAGGGAATTTGTTTTTGTGCTTTCATGTAAAACTAGCGTTCATATTTATATCAGGACCCACATTTTTGCAGCAAAACTTTGCACAGCATCGAGCTGAAAAGTGTACTTTATGCACATGAAGTCAATCTGTTCTAAAGTTAGGATGCCTTCAGGCCCAGGCCTCCCTTGCAAAAGAGATCTGTGATCTCAGTGGGATTTGCCTGGTTAAATAAAGGTTAATAAAAAAATGTTACATTACCTTATTATTGATATCACTGATTCTGGGTCTTTGCAAAGTTAAAAGTGAAGACAAGTTTTAAGCTCCAAAAGGGAAACTTACTGTGATGCTCTCTGATTTGACAAGTTAGTAAATGCTCAAACGTCACGGTTCATAAAATATTTTCATCGTTGTTAGGGACACTGATTGAGTTGTTTTCACATATCTCATAAAAAAAACTGTTTAAGCTAAATATTTTTACAGAAGTCAATGACTGGACTAGAACTCACACGTTCACAAGTGATAGTGGGATGCAGCAGGAGACAGATCGATGGGTCAGGACCTCGTCCTCAGTAATGAGGTTGTTGTTTCGGTCAGTCATGGTGAAGAAAGAGTTAAGCCAAAAGCCAAAGTTCTATTTACTGGTCAGTCTTCCAACCCTCACCTGTTTGGATCATGACCAAAAGAACGAGATCTCAGATACAAGTGGCTGAAATGAGCTTCCTTTGCAGGGTGGCCGAGATCCACTTTAGAGACGGGGTGAGGAGCTCCATCATCCGGGGGGAGCTCGGAGTAGAGCCGCAGCTCCTTTGCATCAAAAGGAGTCAGTTGAGGCAATTCGGGTGTCTGATTAGGGTACCTCCTGGACACCTCCCTTTAGAGATTTTCCAAGCATATCCCACAGGGAATAGGCCCCAGGGGCAGACTCACTGGAGGTATCCTCTTTGGCCTGGGAACAACTTGACATCACTCAAGAGAAGCTGGAAAGTGTGGATGGGGAGAGGGGTGTCTGAGTTTCTCTCCTGGACCCGTTGCCTTCATGAACCGACCACAGATAAGCAAGCGGTAGAGAAAGGAGATGGATAGATTCATGTGTGCAAAGTACCAAAACGGCTAATATTATACAATTTCAAGAAAAAAAAAGAAAGCATGATTGGTTCAGATCTTGGGAAGTGAGGTTTAGTTGAAATGTTACAAACAAATAAAATATTACCTGTTGTAGATAGCTCTTTGAAAAAAAAAATCTCAGTTGGGAAAAATAGAGATTAATTCTGACCACATTAAAAAGCTGTCTGTGCAAGGCCAAGACCAGTCTAAAAAAAAAATTGTGGTTCATGCAAACCCTTTTTATGAATCATATGACCGTCCTTTTTGCATTATATTATTATACCCGCAGAAATATTTTGATATGCTTGCACAAAGTGACCCAGGCTACACAAATGCTGCTGCAACTAGCTGTTACTGCCACTTTTTGTGCTGACAAATAACCAAATAATTCTGTAATACAACCCTGTAAAGCATGTTAACAGTAATGTAAATGTAAAAAAAAAACCACTAACATTTGCATGTACTGCTTGTTGTTTAAAGACAAGCTATGAGTTATTTACAACAAGTTAGATATTAATTGCTCATAACCTCTTCACAGAACCTCATAAAAAGATCCTAACTATATTTTTAAAGTTTAACAGCACAGCCCATGTTTACATATGGCTCTCCCAAACCTTTTATATCCATGTATTCTCTTCAAGACAACCAGTTAAACACCAGCAAACTTAAAAAAAAGAAAAGGAACAAAAAAACAGCACAATAAAAACAGAAAACAAACAAACAAAACAAATAAAAAGCTTCAAGTTCATAAAAACAAACTGAACATCACATTTCATCTCGGCACATAACAGGACATTGCATTTCCATTCGTTTGTGACATTTACACGAGTACTTGAACGTCTCATGGTTGAGCTGCTGAGTGACCTTACAGGCCAACCACCAGCACACAGTTCATCATCATCATCTTTGTCGTTTTAATCAACAGTATAACCATCACCTTCATCAGTGCTATCAGCCACACTGTTTCCTACAGGAGTCCATCAAAGTAGGGTTACCATGGTGAATAAGGTGCTAGTCTCTATGAAAATGCTATCTGACGCAACCAAAGGGTTCTTTTTTTTAAATTTCTGAAATGCTGAACCTCACCACCAAAGCACTTGATTTGTTTGTAATAGCTGTTTTGATATATATATTTTTTTCATTTTGTATTTTTATACTTTTTAAGACGTACAGAATGTAAATGTATTATCAGGCTTTTAGTACCATTTCCTCTCACTCCTCTCATTGTCAAACAAACACACACACACACACTCTCACATTGTAAAAGAAAAGCTGTTGACGTGTAGCATCGAACATGGAAGGTCTACAGAGAGTGGAGCTGGTCAACCAACATGAAACCAGCAGAAAATTTTACATTTGGACTGGTTTATAGACGCTCGTTGGGAGTGAGTGTCCTCCTGCCTGCTGTCCGTCCTCGTCCTCTCTTCTGAGCAGTTCCTTGTGTATTGCTGAGTGAACTCATGGCTCCACCGTGCGTTTCGCTAACCTCAGAGGTGACGGAGGACTCACCGAGCGCTCGAACGGACAGGACAGAAATAAAACATGGCAACTTAAAACATAAATAAATGCTTTCAGTTTCGGTCAATGGCACATATAAATTCACTTCTTCTTTTTTCCACACAAAGTGATATTTCAATGTAGGATTCATCATCTAAATGCTTTGTATTCTCCCCCTGACAATCTTGATGCAAATCAATGGCAAACGTAGGATGACACATGGCAGACGGCAACAAAAACCAGACACTGTGATTTTGCGTTCATGAACTATCAGCTACGTTGTCTAGTTTCTTAACCAAACCTAGCTTAGATCATTTGCTGGGATTAAATTTTCTATTTTCTCTTCAGAACGGGACAAGCTCCTAGCATCAAGATCAACAAGATGACCAAAAAAAAGGGGCAAAACCAGTTCAATCCAGTTGAAATCTATTTGTTTCAGTTCATTTGAGCTCAGTTTAAGCCTTGATGCAAGAAACTACAGCAACTAGCCCTAAAGATGTGTTACAGCCAATCAGATCCAAAGAAAAGTCTTGAAATGGTTTGCAGTGGAGAGGTTTGGGCTTCTTGTAATAGGGATTTAAGCCCCGCCTCTCTTGTTGTATAAATGCTTTAAGTGGTGAGCGTGACTCGACAGGCTCACCCCACGGCCTGCTCCGCAACGCAAAGGCAAGCAGACGCACACAAAAACAAAGTCTCACACACAAGTCTGCCGCACCTGCACCTGGCTGGGTTTAAAGCAACTTACAGTTCAGTGTGTGTCACCGAGCGCCTGCAGGTCTTTCAACACTCCCTCAGACGGACACCTGTACAAACACACACATTCACACGGCGATGCTCGAAAATCGTTTCCCCCCAAAATCCTTCTCTGCTTTCCTCCCGACTCTTCCCACCCCGCTGACAGTGTACACCTTCCAAAGGCTAGTTGGCATGGTGACGCTGATGGGACGGTCGTTGCTAGGAGATGAAAAGAGCAGCGAGGAGGAGCATCGTGACGGTGAGCAGGAGGCGATCTCTGGACGGACTGCTGCCGCTGACGCTCTTCTCCAGTTTAGGGACGAAAGGGTTAAATTCATCTGGGGGAGAAACAAAAAAACATGAAAATAGAGGCAAACAAAGAAAACAATGTTACATTGGGATAGTGTGAATATTTTTGAAGTTGTGTTATCAGTTTGGAAGTTTCTCTCCAGTTTATTACTATGTAAAAGTCATAGGAGCTCATGAATATTATGCAAACTTTTACACTGATGTCACTTTTGTATCATATGGAGGACGACAGCAGAATCAGCTATCAGATAATCAACTGCAAACACTTCCTGCAATTTTAACCATCAGAATGTTAAAGTGTTTGATACGTGGAGTATCATGGTCAGTGTTTGGTTTTCATCTTGTGAGCTCAGTACCAGTTCAGCTGTACTCAGATCCTGCTCCTCAGTCCTGCTATGCCCACTCTACTCTACCTCATTGGGCTCAGCTGTTTCCTCATCTCTTCAGCTTCAGTTCTCAGTCCAGAAGTCAGTGGAGCATTGTGCATTGTTCATACCATCTTTACTTTTGGTGACTCCTGTGACATCCCTCCAGGAATTGAGTTTTTCAGCCACACTAGGTTTTGTTTTTGTTAAAGTTTTGTTTGGGCCCTTGAGTCCTCTGGTTTACATTATTGGGTTCAGTTCCTCCTCAAAATGACCCTGAGATCATTTCAGTTCCATAAAAAACAGTTGGTGGAGGAGTGGTGGCACAGAGGTTAGAGAAGGCAGGCCTGTGATCAGAAGGTTGCTGGTTTGAACTCCCCAAATGAAAATATCAAAATGTGGGTGGGAAAGGTGAAGCACCCACACCTGCCTGGTCATTTGCCCCACTCTGGACCCCTGAGCAAGGACCTCATCCACCACCATCTGCTCCCGCTGGCGCCCTCTATAGTAGCTCTCTGCTGCACACAGAGGGCTGTGGAAGCGTGATGTTCTGTGGTTGCGTTAGGAAGGGTATACGGTGTAAAAACAATGGCAAAGTGTTTGTGTGTTAGTTGGCTGTGGCGACCCCTGAAGAAGGGAGCAGCCAAAAGAAGATATATACACATATTACTGCTTGCTCTATTTTTGATTTCTTATGTTCCTTTTAGGTTTTGGCTATGGTTTTGCTACATGTAGCTTTTAGCTACTGTAATTCTAAATTTAGCTTTTAGGTATGGTTAAGCTAATTTTACCCACTCTTTGGTCACAATTATTTTTATGTAAAGCTACAGTTCTGCAAATTTTTATTATTGATAATTTTATAATAAAATATTGAACAAATGTAAGAACAACAACAAAACAATGTACATAACAAAAAAAATTATAGGTTGGAAAAAGTGAACAAACCTCACAAAGAAAAGCAGGAACAAGGAGTGTGGTACTGTTGTGTGAATATTTATGTACATTTCTTCTCATAATGAATTTGTAGTTTTGATAATTTTACCTTTAGCTACTGTTTTTCTAATTTCAGCTTGTAGCAACTATTTTGCTATTTTGAGTTTTTAGTTATGGTTTTGCTAATTTTAGCCTTTCTACTGCTTGTTGTAATCTTAATAATACAGTTAATTCATTCTTCAACAAATCAACCAAGTGAAATACTCTGTTTGTGTTCAGTATTTTGGCAGAAAAGGTAATTTTTCTAGTTTAGACTTCAGACAGAGCAGGTCTGCGGTTTATTGCCAGTATTAGTCTAAATGAAAGTTATATTGTTAAACAAAAAAATGGTAAGCTGAACTGGGACAAAAATCTGTCTGATGCAAAAGTAAGATAAAGTAAAAATTAATAAATTTACATTTGCTTGAATCACAATTTAATAATAAAAAAAAAAAAACTATCATTTTATCTGATCATTTCCCTGCCATATCTCATTAACTACATTTTGTTTTGGAACAGAAGTATCATGTGGACCATTACTGGTACTGGACTGCAAACGACTTGCTCTTTGATGTAATAATCATTGACATCTAAACAAATAACCCACTAATGCAAAAGTGGCATCAGTGTAAATGTTTATCAAATAATGTTTGTTCTGCTAAAAATGTTTTTAAATAAAGTTGTTGCTCTGATCAATTTCTTCTGCAGGTAAGATGCTGATTACTAATAGCAACGTCATAAAATCGTAACTCAAAACAGTTCAAATCGGTTTCTTTAATATAAATTTATTCAGTGTTTTTAGCTTAAAACCTTTATTTTTGCAAAGTCTTTCAATTAAACATGACAAACAAAAGGTTACTTTCAGTCCTGCATGAACACCACATCAACAGCACCACAGGAGACTGCAGCTGTCATCTGAGGGCCCTTATTGTTCTCCTAAACTGACACGTTGTTGCACACTTCAGACGGAAACACGTTGCAGGTACTGTAATCCTCTCCGATAGCCCGAGTTGTACACCTGGTACTTTTCTAAATATAGTTTGCAGTCTTTTGTTCGGGGTGAGACATCGAATGTTGATGTGTAATCGATGAACAAAAAAACCCCGGCAGACAGCTCAGTGCTCGCTCGCACCTCTGAGACACAAGTAGTCACTTGATTAATGAGACTGCAGACGAGACAGGAGCACGGTTTTCAGTCTGCGCAGAAGTCGGCCGAGGCTGATTAGTAATTCTGTTTACGGCGTAGCAAAATGGAGATATTTCAGAGTTTCCATTGTCTGTCTGCAGCTGCTCCACGGGTCAAACACTGGATGACACCTGGTTGTAGAGCCAGCCTCTGCTGGCTGCTCTAATGAGGCCCGTGCAGCAGCAGCGCTCAGGGATAAACGCTTTGACCGAGCGTGCAGCTGAGAGGTCAGGACACGGTGTAACTTCGCTGTGTTTCTGCGCCTCTCACTGACACAAGAATGAGATTTCAAAAGAAAAGCACACACACAGAAACAGCAGATGGAGGAGGAACTCACACTACTGGTTTTCAAGTCTGGCTGTATGCCTCATTACACCCCCCCACACACACAGGCTTGTCTTGCTATTTTTACAAGGACTTTGCATTGACTTCCATTCATTTTTCATTCATTTCTATAGCCTAACTCTGACCTTTACCCTAAACCTAACACATCCTCAATTCACACCTTAGTCCTAAACCTAACCCCTAACCCTCCAACGGCACTGCTTCTTATGGGGTTTGGGCTTTGGGCCCCATAAGGAGCAGTTAGTCCTCACAATGTAGTATAAGTTGGAAAAGTGGGCCTTACAAAGTAACATAAACAAAGACACACACACACACACACACGTTTGCCTTACTATCCTTACGGGAACTTTGCATTGACTTCCATGACACTTGAACCTTATGGGGACCGGGATTTTGCTCCTATAGAGCAGTTGGTCCTCACAAAGTAACACAAATAAGCACACACACACCATATTATATGTCATTGTCGCAGGTAACAGATAATTACTGGCAGACATTTTTGGTGAGATGTTTGCGCAAGGCCATGTGACGCACAGTTTGACCTCCTGGCACGCCAAGCCAAACAAGTTAAAAACGTGCGCCTCGTTTTGTGTGTGCGTGTGTGGGTGTGTACTGCCACGTTTCAGTGCACACAGAGCAGCAACCTGATAATTAGGAGGCTCACACTGTTAAAGATGTCTGTGAATATGAATGCCAGTTTAGAGAGAAAACAGTAAAAGGTGGCAGGGTTCATGAGAGCGTGTGCAGCGTTGTTTACTACGACGTGGATCTGACCTTGATTTGGCCCCTTTAATCATACCTTCTACGCTTCATTGTGTTGAACACTGACATTTAAAATCTCAGATAGTGTACGTTCCGAGAACCGAGTCGTTTAAGACTGGTGGTGTTCTTGATCCAGAACATTAAACACCCACTTTAGGCTAATTAGGAGAGACTCACGCAGGTATTTTGATTTAACGCTGTGGCTGAGTGCATATAGCTTGGAAATGTTTGAGTTAAAAAAATCAGCAATCACAACTGCTACAGTAGAAGCCTTTGGACCACAAAATACTTTCTGAGGATTCAAGGAAAAGAAAACTACCAGAAGGACAAAAAAAAACAAAAGCTTTAGGAGCTACTTTGCAATGGTTTGATTTTTTTATTTTTTATTTTCTTTGTTTGTAATGGCTGGTCCTGAAAGTTGTTCTAAAAAAGCTGTTATTTCTTTGTTAGAAGGGTTTAAATTCATGGTTATGATATATTTTAAAAATACACTTAGTATGTAAAGCTTGAAACAAGATTTTTGCTCTTTTACATTTTAATTATTATTATTATTATTATTTACCTCTTGTAGGTATTAGATTCTCATTGAGCCTGTTGTGTTGAATTATAGCCTAATAGTGATTTACAAATTCCATCCATCCGTTCTCTTTCCTCGCTTCTTCCTTTTTGGGTTCGCTGGTGCCCATATCCAGGCTTCAGTGTGTGTGTGTGTGTTTGGGGGGGGGGGGGGGGACTCTGGACAGGTCTCCAGTTCATCACAGGGACACATAGAGACAAACGAGACAAACAACCATTCACTCTCCCACTCCCAGGGACAATCTAGAGTTATGATTTTGTAAAGATACTACCATGCTAAATTTTCTGCTCTGTATCTAATGGAGGAGTTCCAGTTTTTTCCTTATAGCTCTTTGACACCAGATGGTGCCAACAGGCTCACACCTGCAAACCATTATTCTAATGAGCTGTACGAGTATAAATGTCAGTTGACTTCAGTCTGACACTGGTGCACTGTCTGCCTACTGGTAGGTGTGTAAAACAGTTGGCCACGTTACCATTCCCAGTGATTTGTAAAGATTAAAACCTTGTTTTACGTGTTTCAGCACTGACTCCTGTGTTCCTCCTGCGCCTTGGACATCCCTGGTTTCATCGTTAAAGCCTCCTAGTCATTCCTCCATCCGTTCCTTGCTTTCCACCACCTGCCCACCAATCTATGTAAACCTTCTGGGACTCCTCATTTGTGACTACTGGAACTATTGGACCCTCACACATGCAATGACCTTCTCCTCCCTCACACATGCAATGACCTTCTCCTCCCTCACACATGCAATGACCTTCTCCTCCCTCACACATGCAATGACCTTCTCCTCCCTCACACATGCAAT